GTCTGTTGATGAGAATCGTATGGACACCACATTCGTCCCAGATGACTATGTATGTATGTGTAATGAGCGACTTCCGAGACACGTCATGTAGAGGGCTTCTTCTTATTTATTTCTCACACTGGGCACAACACAGGCCGATATATATACACGTCTCCTCAACTAGGCACAACACTGGGCAATAATATATATACGTCTCTACTTAGCTACACACAGCCGACCTCCTTCACAGTCCCATCGCCTACGTTCAACCACACAGCTGGCGGACTAGCGTGACGATGACGGCGCTGGGAGCCGTGCAGAAGATCTTCCATGTGGCCGGACGACGGAGAGAGATGACGGTGAGCAGCGACGCAGTCAGGACCCGGGACCCCACCGTAACAACCCCGAACCTTGGGTCCGCTCCACCTTGTATCCCTCCAGGCGCGGCCGGGGTCCGCCTCTGGCCACGCCCCTTCCAGAACCTTCCAGCAAGTTCCTGGAGCTTCCCGACTAACCCCCCTTTTAACTCTAACCCAGATACGCCCCCCCCCTTCTGATTAGTTGTTACATCACCTTGCCCATACCCGTGATTACCCTTCCCAGGCCAGCAGGTGTCACCCTGTCATTACATCACTCCCCCCTCATATAAAAGACAGCCGTCCCGGCTAATATTAACAACAGTTTTCCAGGTGAGGCAGATAAGGTCCGCAATAAAACGAATTAACAACAGCAATCTTGTCTAATAAGGCAGAACAAACCGCAAAATAAAGAAGGTAAGGCAAGAGGCGAAGGAGGGCGAGCAGGAAGGCAAGAGAGGAGAGAAAAAAAATTATCCACAAGACATGCGAAAGCGATACCAACCCCCTCTCCTACACACACACGCACACACAGGGACATTCCTATGATTGGAATCTATAACATTTAGACCGAGTTCTCGATGCTGACCCGTCCGCGGGAACAATCTTCGCCTTCTGCGCAGGGGATGTGGGCTCCACCGGGAGACCCGGAGAAGTCGGTTCCATCTCTGGCTTCACAGGTGCTGTTGGCCCCTGCCGCAGCAGGCGACTCGTCGCGTTCGGCGAGACTTCGAGATCCGTCAAACTTCAAGGGCTTGGAAGCTGTGGGCGGCGCATGCCCTCCGTTGGCATTTTCTCCGGCTCGTCGGACACAACAGACACCGGCCGTTGACAGTTTGGAGATGAGGTGTCAGCTCGAGGAGGAACAAATGGCTTCAATCGCGATGGATGGACAAACCATCAGCGACGGCCTACCTGTGCACGTACGCACAGCAGCCGCCTGACCTCAACCACGTCCTCGGGGAAATGCCATGGCAAATGTAACTTAGGGGATGTACCCACTGGCACTTGCGGGAAATGCAACCACGTCTTGTCACCTATGGACCAATGCAGTGCGTGGCCACGCTTCCTCGCATTCTGTTCATTAGCCGGAACATTAGTTCCAGGTTTATCAAACTCAGATGACAGACCGGGAGCATGCGTTGCCTTCAGTTAAGAAACTGCCGTCTTGATAGTCACAATTTTTTGGCGAAGAATCTCACAAGTACTGTGCAGAGACCTGGTTGACGAGTTGATGGGTGGTTTGAGTGCATCAGACCTTTCATGACGCTCCATCGAGCACGGGGGTCGGGAGTCGACTCATTGTTGCACAAAGCATAGAACAATCTGGGAGACTTAATAATTAGTCGGTTGGCAGATCAGCAAACGGCTCTGAGTGGACACTCTCAAAACTTGTTTTCTTCCAAAGATGCTCCAGCCTCCTCTGCATCTACTTCGCAGAGATCGCCTCCGGTGACAGCCAGTTACTGCGTGCTTTTCTCGAATTTATTTGTGCTGGTTCGGTTGGACATGAATTCAACAAGAACAGCAGTGATGTCATTTTCCAATTGAGCTGCAAATTAATTAACCGTCGATGCAGGACTTAGACGCACCGATGATGACCAGATCTTCTCACGGAAAGCATCATAGTTCAGTCGTTTCCAGCCTCTGTACTGTATGATGTCGTTGTGACAGGTGGGCGAATAATCGATCATGCCACGTTGCACATCACGAGTACTGTAATCTGAAATATCCACGTATTCGAAAACGTGGGCTACGGTTGCGGCAGATGTGAAAATGTGATCCGGTATGTTTCTTGAGCGACATGCGGGGTTAACCTGTGACTGTCGATAATTTCGGCGAGATCGCTGTTGATTTTACCACAAGAACTGGTCGGTTCCAAGACAGTTCAGGTCACCGCAGATGACGTAGCGAGAGCCAAGTGACCCACAGTTTAGAAGACCAGAAAGCTCGGAAAATAATTCCGACAGTGGTGAAGACAGTCGTCGATAGATGACAGCGATCACAAGCCCCCGCATGCTGTTCGTTAGTTTCACAAGCAGCAGCTTGAAAAAATGTGATTGTTCATGAGTCACTAATGACTTTCATGCAGATGTCTACATGATGAATCAATGCGACCCCACCGCCGTGCGGGCTGCCTGTGCCAGGCTTTCTGCGACGGTGCTGATGTACAATAGCGTGTCTGTTAGGTTTCGTTAATGGCCAATATGTCGAGTCCACAATCATCGATCAAATTGTGGATCAGCACCGTCTTGTGACGATGGAGCGTGCGCTGACAAATCCAAAGTTGAAGAACCCTCGTCTGGGATTTGGCTCGATACCCGACATCAGCAGCAGTATGGTGATGAAGGCGCTCTTCCACGATCATGCAGATTTAGAGCACAAGAAGAACTGACCAGATCTGCCACACAAACATGCGCAAGGCACTGCAACAAGCGATGAACGAGGTCGGGTAGGGGTCAGCATTTCCACAGCAGATCGCAGCACAGCGCGGTGTGGAATTCGAGCAGTTTGAACCGGAAAGTCGGCCAGTGAGGACTCCCTTCTGCACGTTGGATGCTCGTCCGCGTCTGATAGGGAGTTCTCACTGCCGTATCGGCGACGTTTGGGCAAGGTAGAATTGGTTTGTCGATCCAAGCCAAGAGAAGATCCTGGTAATAGCCCCACATTCTCCAGGGAAGAGGGGAAGCATTGCTCGACCAGATCACTCGGCTCGCTCAGCCGAAGTCACGCGAGAGCAGGGCCCGGTCGCATGCAGCCGGGCAGCAGCAGCGGAAGCAGAAGTTACAGCGTCTCGCCAGCGCAAGGTGTTGTTGCTGTTGCAGTTGCTGTTGTTGCAGTTGCTGCTGTTGTGTCTTCCTCTGGTATTGATATTGTTGCTGCTGTTGCTGCTGATGTTGTTGCTGTTGTGTATTATTGGAATACTTTGATCGAGACCTTTGATTAATGCATTTGATCAAGAACTTTGATCAAATGCCTTTGAACCAAGCAAGACCTTTGAATCAAGGCTGCCCCGTGGAGGGTGGGATCGTCGAGCGGAGGAGGCTGGAGTTAGCGTGCTTGCACACACAAGTGTGCCAGCGCCGTGCCGTTGGTTGCATTCCGAGGAGTCCACGTGTCGGCCTTCTGGGTGCAGAGCCCGAAGCACGTGCAGAAGTAGGGTCTTCTTCGGGCTCCGGCCACACTCACCGCGAGATTGTGGCAAGCGCAGGTACCAGGCGGCGATGGTTACGTGCAGCCCCAGCGCTTGGCAGGTCGACACATGCCGTACGAGCATGTACTCCCGTGGACTTTACACAACAGCGCATTAAGCACCCTAAAGTACAGGTGGTGTATCTGGCAGTCATCTCAGTCAGTGGACCCATGGCATCTGGGTCTGTCCCGTAATCTCCTGCCGGTGAGCCTTACGATTCTGAACACTGCACGTGACCCCAAGTTGCACAGGCAGGGTGGTGATGTCACCTCCACTTAGTGATGAATGACGGTTGTTGTTTTGTATTTTGAATATCTATACCAGCTGTATTTATATTATATGTCTAGTTGTCGACTTTATAGCTTTCCCCCCCTGGGTTAGAAGAGCAAGGCAAGATTATGTAGTTATGCCGTACTCCCTCTATACAACCTCCTACATGGAGAGTTGTTATTTATCATGAGAATTCACGGTGGACTGCAAAGAAACATCGAACATGTGTACGAAATTTGCCCATTTGTTGTTGACAATTACAAACACACCTTATAGACATTTTCAGTACAAAAATTCCCAAATACAGCGGTGCAAAATGTTGGGGAAAGTGCTTTTAGCAAGCATCTATTTAGTGTGACTAACACAGCCCCTGGATGCCTCTGTCTTTCCCGGTGCTGAGGCTTCCATACCGCACCAGGTTCCTATTTTAGGATGTTTTGGCCTTGGGGAGAACCATAGTTTCACTTCACTACAAACCTGGCAACCTGGATTCAATTCCCTAGTCACTGACAGCACAAATTTCTGGTTGCAAATGACACCATTGATGAACCCAGGTCGTTTGGCTGATGTTGAAATGCTTTTCTCACTGCGCCACTGGTAAACGTAGGCTTGGCAAACAGCATACTGCAATAATACAACACAGTACTTGTGCGCGGAATGATTTACATGTGTGCAATGGATCTAGTGTACAGTTGACTAATTCACGAGCCCAGATAAAATATTTAACTTGTCATTAGCACACGAAGTGGGAACACTTTGTTGCTTTTTGTAGAAATTCATCTTCTAAGCCAAAAGTACCATTCTTGCATGGAATGGAATTCATTATTTGGTGATGCTGTGCTGGCAGTGGTGCAATGAATGTATGTGCTATGAAGGGCTATTTCCCTAAACGTCACCTATTATATATATTTACGTTTAAGGCGGTGTCATTGACGAATACGTTGAGTTTTTTTCCATTATTGCATGGAGCCACCTGCTCGGCGTTAGTTACTCCATGTGCTTCAAATAGTCGGATTCAACGATAATAATCATCACAACTCGCTCGCCCGGAACGAGGCCCTCGCGGCTGACTCCCACGTGCCGCGTGAATACGTCGTGCCCGGGCCGACAGCTGTGCCACCTTTGGGTGGCCACCAAAGGCGACGGGCCTTTTCCTGCCAGTTTCCCCTCCCTAAGCGTCCGCAACGTTGCTTGTGTTGTAGAGCTTGCTGAGGTTCTTCAAGCCCGACAAGGTGCCACCGCCGTGCTGCATTCCCACGCGCCTGAGCTCGCTGAGCATCCTCTACCACGAGGAGAACACCGTACGGGTCATGCACCCCCGCGACATGGTGGTGGAGGAGTGCGGGTGCCACTGACGGCGGGGGGGGGGGGGGGCGCGTCCGCGTGTGGGAACCTTTGTCCCACGGAGGATGTCACGGAGGAGGTCGGGAGCACGGTGTTGTGTTGTTCGCGTTTGCATCGCGCTCCAGCTCGCGTTTCTGTTCGCTCGGCCACGCTATCCTCGCGGTCACTTCCCCCTGGGGTTTTCATCTTTCCATTTTGTTTTTATTCGAGTACGGCAAACCCTTGCCCATCGCGGGGGTGGGGGGGGGGGTTACGTTGTTGAAAATAGCTGCAGTCGGCAAGTCCGCTATCTGCAAAGGCAAATCTGAGGATTGGTTCAGCGTTCATAAGACGAATCCTCTTGTTGGATGTTCACCTACATCAGGGGTCGGCAACCAAAATAACAAGAAGAGGAATGGCCACAATGCACTGCGTGGTGAATACGAGACGGTGGCCCTTAACAAATAGCATCACGAAGCAGTCCTTAAAGAGCCGACCCCTTGCCCTACATCAACCCAAACACAACACCGGAAGTAGCTTGAACGTAAACTCTAATTGTTTTCTTCTCCTGTTCAATATAACCTCACGGTAAATGTATAAGGATGAGAACAATCCACGTAGTGTATGCTAATGCTGCGCACATATCCGTGAGCAGTATTGTGTACACTACAGGAAGAAAAATTGTACGGCCGGACCTCGCGGCCTCCTGACTGGAGGCTGGAAACACCGCATGGCCCGGGACCCGCGATATGCCGCTTGGGAGACGGAGACAAGAGGGGCGCCGCGTTTGTTCATACGCAGCAGCATCGCCGCCAGCAATGCAGTTACGATGCGGGCAGGAATCTCGCGGTCAACCGCGGATTGGCCGAGCCACAGGGGGCGAACTTCCACCTCAATGAATTTAGCGCGAAACCACGATAGGTCAACCTGCGAGAGGGGGAAGCGTTTGCTGTACATATCGTGTAATTCGATTAGCAGTCATTTGGGAATTTTATAGGATCAAAAATATATTTGCGTGTGTGTGTATATATTACGTCTTTACAAAAAACTTATCATACTCACAAACTCAATAGAAATGTATATTTTATATAGTGTACTTTATAACTTGTCAAAAAATGCATTTATGTAGTGCAAGCGTTACATTTAAAATGATCCGCACGTGGGCCTTCCGCCTGTATGTCATGTTGCAGTGTATTTAAAACTGTTGTTCGACATACTATTTCTTGCACAGCTGTCCTATGTGAGCAACTCACTACACGAATTGTGCACGCGCTATTAATCTGAATGATTTATTTTAAGGCTGACATACAACTCCTGTTATCCATGGTAATGTGTGGAACACGGAGAGTGGACTGGCAGATTATCCGCAGTTTATTCCTCTTGTCCGTGGAGTAAGAACGTGTCTAACCCGCGGATAATCGGATTAAATTGCAGCATCAACTCCTCTTATCCGCGATAACGCCGGTCGTGTTTCAGTGGCTGTGGAGGGGTTGGTCTGTACGTGACTTCAAAGATGTCTCGTGTGCCTGTGCTTATGTCACTGTCTCCGTCTTTGTACAGCACCTTTCACTGTCCCTATCACCATGTGTGTTACAGTTCCTGCGTTTTCATGTGTATCTCTTTGTCTCTCTATCCCTCCGTTTCTGTCTTCATGTCTGTTTATCTCCAACTGTGTCTCCGCGGTTTCCTGAATGTCTACGTCTCTGTGTCTTTCAGTGTCTGTGTCACCTCTCTCGGTATCCGTGTCTTTGTTTCTCAATGTCTCTATGGATCTCTGTTTTTTGTGTGCATCTTTGTGTCTTGTGTTTCCTCGTCTGTGTCTCCTTGTCTCTCTTCGTATCTCATTGTTTTGTGTGTTTGTATCTCCATGTCTTTCTTTGCCTCTGTGTGTGTGTCTCTCTCTGTCTCCATACGTGTATCTCCATGTATCTGTGAGTGTACTCGTGTCTGTGTGTTGTCTCATGCAGTGTGTTCAAAGCAAGTGGCTGCCTGTGCACTTTGATCGCAGCAAATAAAGATAACTAAAAATAATACAAAATCATGGATTATACAATGCATTATCTGCGAAAATATGGTGGATAATAGGATGCCATTCTGCAGACTCATGGGAAGTCACGGATAATAGGAAGAATAGGGCTGCGGGTAATAGGAGTCTAGGATAAAAGGAGTTCTGTAATATATGAATTTATAATCGTGGAGCAGTAGCAATTGTCTGCACATGGCTTCTCAAACAAACTAGAGCACCACCACGTGATGTCCTTCACAAATGTTTATTCTTTGTGTAGATAAATTTTAATATACCGTATGTATGTTTAAATGTGATTTTACGAGTATGACTTTTTAAAAACGCGTCTTTTTTATGTTTGAAATGTTGCAATACATTCGGTACGTTTGTATGTAAATATAACTATTTCCGATGGAAATTCTACCTTGGTCCTGTTAATAGAGTTCTATTACATTTTATAGGATATTTGTGTCTGCGCACCTCGCATTTACTGTCGTTTGTCCTCGATTGTCATCAAGTGTGTCATTTGTAAAATGTTTATTTGAAATAAACACACGATGAAAGAGCCTCACATGCAAGAACCTACTTGAGAAATGTTCTTTGAGTTGTGTGAACAACCGTGCATGCTTCACCGTCACGTTTTCCAGCGATCACGGACACACGTGGAGGATAGGGAACGCACGCTAGGGCAACATACAATTTTATTACTCGTTTCATGCTTCTGAAAGCTGGTCGTTTGTGAACAGTGGGACAATACCTCCTAGCATACGATGCTATTCACAGATTTTTGTTAGTTTCATGCCACCGTTACCGCATCTTGGCTCGTGGCGAGACCAACCCCACTGGCGAACGCGTTGAGGAGTGCAGAACGTTACCCCACGGGGCTTCCGAGATCAAGCCACTCGTTTTGTCCGCTGCAGGTTTTTTTTTCCGAGCCAACGCTAAAAGGTTATTTTATGAGCCCCCCGCCGCCGCCGCCGCCGTTATTGGATGGAACGGAGTTCGAGGGCGAGAACGGGCACCCCCCCCCCCCCCCCCCCCGCGAGCAGAGACGCCACGTTTCATCGTCTCGTTACTGGCCGGAGACACGGGAGTAAACCGGGTGCCCCACCCTGCATTTATATAGCGTTAATACGATCCAACAATGGACAAACTAAGCATGGTGTATAGGGGATACATACGTTATACGATTTAGTACAAACATAAAAAAAAAGCATGTTGAAGTTCATATTTGAATCTAGTATTCCACGCAATTCTTCAATCCTGTAACCAACCTTGGTGTGCCCTTGCCAATGAACATGTTAAAAGTATTATATTGCCACTTGAAATTATTACTAAACACCAATAAACAACTTAATTCTCTAGATTAAAATATAATGTCTGTTTTTATAAAATAACAGACATTTCTCCCATGTTAATCTGAAGTCAAACACAATGAATATTACAGTCATGACCAGAGAACTCTGTATATGAGTGGCACAGGGTCAATCAAGCACATGACCTTGGTTAATCTGCAGTGACCTGGGTCTTACTGTTTGAGGTATATTGCATTATCTCTAAATACAAGTTTATAAAGTTAATAATAAACATAAACAGCAAATTATGAATACCATCCAAGTGCTTTAACCTGCACACTTGAGCTCTATCGTACGGAATAAACGGTTTTGTTTAAAGTTGCTTAAATAAATACTGCTGCAGTCACACAAGTGTGTACACGTGTGCGTGTTATTGCATGTGGGTGCGTTCAATCAGTCGACGTCCCTTCACACCTGCAGCCCGTGGGGCACTCGCAATATAGACATTACACCTATCTAAAGTCAAGCCCTTTTGAGAGTTATCATAGTTCTCTTTAAACACTGTGTTTTATAGCAAATACTTAACATTTACAATATTTACAATAGACGTTGTTTTGTTTACACTTGGAAGATATTCATTCAAATTGACCTTCGTTTTGATTTCTCTCGATTCTTTTTAAGATATATTTTCTTTCAATCACCTCTCTTGAAAATAAATTTGACGTAACACTGTGCACGCAGAGAACTTCATGGCTCTGGGACATCGCGACTAACGGGTGGGTTTAATGTCGCGCAGTCGACCGTCTGCGCACATAGGTTAACCCTCGGGGTCAGCGCGAGCGGTGACCCCTATCAAACCAAACCCTAGTCGGTCACCCTTAAACAGCCACACATATCAGGGTTTTTAGCAACAACACAAACTCGTGGTTTCGTGTGGGCGCATGCCTCGCTAACGCATGCCAGTATTTGGAGGTCAGGTGAAATTTTAAAACCTTTGAGTTAAGGTTTTAAGTAGTATTGCTGGGACCCCCATGTTGATATTTACATTAAGCAGCCGTACGTACGGCATGCCCTACTTGCACCGTTTATGAAAGAGCTGCCGGTCTGAATCGGATGCATCTGGGTAGCGTAGAGGCCAAGTGGTTGGTGATTGATATCCTGTGGAATTCAAAATTTATCCTGAGCAGAAATATACGTGACTGAATAATTTACCGTGTCAGCACTTGAGCCGTAATGCAAGCACGAATAAGAACGATGGCACCTTGGCAACATTAGTTGACGTTTGTCAACGGCGTTTCAGTAGGAGTGAAATAACTAACAGAAAGCTACGCACGGTTCATAAAATCTCTCGTGAAAAAGTAGGATTTTCTTACTGCCGAGTCAATTCCCTTGACTCCAGTTGTCAGGTTACTATTTTAAACACAACTAGACGTGCGTAAAAACGCAAAAAAAGTTAAAAAGACAAATTCAATAGCCGCTCATAAAACATGAGGTTGTCGGTGTTTGTAATTGTTATGCATTTTTTTTTTTTTTACCAGATACCATAGTAAATTCTGGAACGTAAACCAACATAATAGTACACTATCTAAGTTGGACGTTATTTCCTTTAATATGTTTCTATATTACAAAACGAAACTAGAAGAACAAAAACGCATCTGCTTTTTCTGACACGGATCAAACTAGCCTCGCCACTAAGGAGGCAACGAAGTCTTTGGAGTGAAACGGCGAATTAGAATTGTAAGCACGAGTACTGGGCCAGAGCACAGCCCATGTTGTTTGTTAATAAGCTAGTCGTAGTAATAATAATAATAATATCGTTTAATAGCGTGCTTTGGTCTTCTTCTCGACCGAAGCACACATTTAAGCAAAACACTTTTTTGTTGCGAATGTTCTTGGCCAGCCGTTCCACACAACCTGGGCGCAGGCGACCCCGAGTGCCGGAGCGGCTCAGCGGCGTCGTCATCGTCATCACCGCCTCCACAATCGCTGGCACTCCCTAACGCTGCATGGCCCCGCGCGCCGCTACTCGCCCAGCTGAGATGATACGTGACGTTCTCCGAGAGAAGCAAGACTTCGCGTCTTGCCTAGCACCGTAGAGAAAGGTGGCCACAGCACCTAATAACTAACTAAGATCCGCAGTGTCCAGTCAGATAACTGACCGCCTGTCAACCCTTCATTGCTGATGTTAATCAAACTCTTAAAATAAAAATGTTAACAAATCGAAACTTTGTCGTTGCAAAAGTTTTCTCCGCTGTGTTAAGTCTACAACAGCCGAGCAGTTAAGTGCTGTGTGAGATCAAACACGTTGTCAGTTCTACGCTTCACACCTGGATAACTTTAGGTAACCACACCACACTCACAAGGACTGAGGCAATCACTAGGCGAGAGAATATTATCCGTTCATCGTCCAACGTTGTTTGTTACCGTGTTAAACATTACGGTTGCCTGTTAAAATAACTGCCATTACAGTGGGTTTCTGGAGTGTGCAAAGTTTCTGCAGAACGTCTTACCAATAAAACAATCTTCTGATCATCTCATCAGCAGTGTTCCAGATTCCTCCTCGTGTACCTCGTCATCCTCTGAAGACAAGTCGTCAAACGCGTTGGATTTCACAACATCCGAGGAGGCCGCCTCGCCAGCCCTCCTGGCGAACTTGTGAAATACGAGCGGGTCCCGTGCGGCCTCGCCAGCTTGTGGCTGCCGGTCCTCCCCACGCACCCCAACGGGGGGCTCCTCGCGCCTCCCCCCGCGAGGCTCGCCGCTCTCTGCCGAGGCCCGGCGCCCCCAGGGCCGCCCGTCGCCGACTTCCCTCTCCCTTCCTTCGTCGCCGTCGCCGTCGCCGTCGCCGTCGCCGCCGTCGCCGCCGTCGCCGCCGACGACAGAAAAAGCCACCGCCCTCTGCGCTGCCGCCGAACCGACGATCTCAAAGTGGCGCGGCTCCAGGCGGGCAGTGGGCGCGACGTCGGGCCGCGCCGGCCACTCCGTGGGCATCGCCGACGCGGCGGCGGCGGCGGCGGCGGCGGCGGTGGCGGCGGTGGCGTGGGCATCGTCGGCGACGCCGACCCGGCCGGCTTCCGCGAGGGCGTAAGCGTCGGAGGAAGGCGGCGCGAGCGTTCCCGCGGCCCGCCTGTTGCACGACTCGCAGCAGAGCTTGTTGTAGCCGGGGATGGGGCAGTAACGCACCAGCACCTCCATCTGACAGAAGATGGACTTGTCGCCCAAGCAAGGCTCCTCTGCGCACCAGACCCAATGCAAAGGTTCGGGCGTCGTAGTTTTTTGTTGTTTGGTCACGGCCGCGCGTAATTCTTAGCTTTTTGTTGTTGTTGTTGTTGCGAATTAAGTGGCAGCAAAGTAAAGCGAAAAAAATGGAAACATGCAGAACTACGCGGCGTGAAAGTTGGCAAAACAGCGGAAGCCCAAAGCCAGAAGAAACTTAAATACATTCGATTAGCTAATATTTGTATTGCCGGGTATGTACGATGAATGACTGCCAGAACCTCATTCATCAGTGCGCCACACTGCGGGCACGCAACGCAACATGGCACATGAACGAGTCTTGGCCAAATCTCGTCTCTTGCCAAAGCCGCTTGAAAGCCACAAGTAAAGTTCAATTCAAGCAGAAAGATTTCTCACTCGGGTGCTTAAATTTGTTTGCCAAAAGCCAAAGCTGGAAAAAAAACAAAACTGATTTACAGCCACATGCTAAGATTTCTGAAGAACAAAAACACAACGCGTCCACCAATAACACTGGGGGCTTTAAAGGGAAAATGTATAATAGGTGACGTTTTGACCAATGGCCCTTCTTTATAGCACATGGAGAGGTCAGAGAGATAGAGTGAATAAGAGTTGAAGGCTTTACCATACACCACGGGGAAATGATAAGAAATCAATAAATAAAACATGTTTCCCGATTCAGAGTTTTAAAATTGGCAGACACACCCTTCAATAATAATAAAATGTGTGAATGCATCAACTCATTTGTAATGAAAGAAGCGTTATAAAATATTGCTGGCAATTTGCATTATGGGTAACCGTGTTTCAGTGTGGTATCTTAATGAAGAGAGGCTCAAATTGTCTACTCAGTGACTCATACCTGGGCCTGCCTTATCATTCCAATTATATAAAATCCATACTCAAGAAATGTTTTACATATTCTGCTTGCAAGGTTCAGATTTTATAACCTTTCTTGAAAGCCTTTTTAATCCTGAGTAGAAAAGAGCTCTTCAATAAGACACCACACTTCAGCATCGTTACCTTTTATGCAATGTGCCAACAACATTTAATAA